CTCTCTCTCTCTCTCTCTCTCTCTCTCTCTCTCTCTCTCTCTCTCTCTCTCTCTCTCTCTCTCTCTCTCTCTCTCTCTCTCTCACGCGCGCGCGCCGTGCTCCCATGCTGCTGCGCTATGCTGGTGCTGGTACCCTACCACCATCGTAGACTACTCCTGCTACTACCTGAAGCATGCCCGTCTGCCTCCAGGGGGGACCAGCTGTATTTAGTGCTGGTCCGGCTGGGAGGCCGCCCTTGCCAATGCCGAACGGCGCCGGTGTCTGGCGCCCAAAACTGGCGCCTTGGCGCCCAAACGCCAAACTGGCCTGGTGCCTAAACCAGCACCCAGGGCCTGAAGTGGCACCCAGGGCCCGTTCCCCTGCTGCTGGCCTAACTGGGCCTCTGACTGGGGGCCTGGCACTACTGAACCGACGCGCCAGGGCCTAGGCCTATCTGAAACGACACGGCCTGGAGGGCCCTACCTAAGTCGAACCGACACAGGGGCTGTAGGGACCCCTAGCTATCCCCTAAACCAACCTGGTCGGGCCCTGCAGGGGCCCATGTGGTACTCAGAATGCCACACCCACCCAGATCCAAATAACCCAAGGAGACCCGGATGATTCATAATTTCACATCAGACACCGGTGTGCGGTCATTCAACTTCTTACCGAAAACAAAAGAAAACAAAAAAAAAAACACAGCAGCAGAGCATGATCCTATCCTGGCAAACACAACAAATTCACGCATCTGAAAAAAAAAAAAAAAAAGTTAGAGAATCACTGATTACAGTGATCAGTAATTACAGGTTAAGCAATAGGAACCGCACTGATGCTCGCCACAATGGAAATGAAGCCAGGACCACCAGGACCATAAGGACCTGTTTTATTATTAAAAAAAAAAAGAAAAAGTAACTAGAAGTTAAGATAGCAGAAACTGCGCAAGAATCCTAAGAAAGCAGCTGATGATGACAGGTTTAAACGAAGCTCAACAAACAAACAACAGACTCCACAAAATAGGGCTATACACTATTATACAGGCATTTGCATCCGCACCTGCAAGTCCCCATGCCCCTCCCCTCTGAAAGTGACCCGAGGCGGATCTGGGTGCACCGTCAACACGATACTCGATCCTGGCCATTCAAGATCTTCAATGATTTCCTTCAGGGCAGCTGACTGCATCATCAGAAAGAAACAGAGGACACAAGAAGGACCCAGTTTCAGTTCCGTAACTTCCATCGCCATAACTTCCATCGGCATGCTTCGGAAACGTAAGTTAGCGGCTTAGGCCCGCCTGGGACATGCATAGGGAGGGGCCAGGAAAGCGTCTGGGGACAGAACAGAGCTTTCCCATGCGAGTGCCGGGTAGGGTAATGCAGACATGCGCTGCTGAGCTGCCCCCCCCCCCCGCCCCCAGCCCCCCTTGTACCGCGTCTAGAGCGACAGGGGTGCGAGGCTGTACTTTCTCTGTGCTGTTCCCCCCTTGTTTCCCATGCTTGCTGGTGATAAGCAACCCCACTGCTTCCCCCCAGAATAGATAGGGCTTTGAGTTTCAAAAAAAAAATCGAAACGAAGGGAAAAAAAAAAAAAAAAAAAAAAAAAAGACTGGGAATTTGGAAACGTGCACCAGACCCCTCTGTTGAGCATCAACAGGATATGAAATCCAGGTCATTTCAAGATCCTCAATGTCATTTCTTTCAGGGCTGCCTTATTCCCTATTGGGCACACAGGGCACCCCTCTCGGGCAGCCAAGGGTTTACCTTGACCGCTGAGCACCATTGTGGTGCGCCAGGGCACCCCTCTCGGGCACACTGGGCACCCCTCTAGGGCACACTGGGCACCCCTCTAGGGCAAAGTGGGCACCCCCTCTAGGGCCTGTTCGGACTCTAAATTGCGTTCATTTTTATTTATGGCTCTGTTGGTTTGTCCGGTTCTGCATCGTGTTATTCTTAGATTTTCCTTGCGAGTATTTTGTTATCGTGCCGAGACCTTGGCGTTTCCAATTCCGCCCATTTCCGGACAGGGACACCTTCGGCGCTGGTGTGTCGATTTATGTGTGTCATCCATGCCCAGGGGCCATGCTAACCGTCTCTGTATCGTTCCAATTTCCACGGATGTCCCAAAGGACTATCCCAGCCATGTCCGTTCGTAGGAGTGCCTCTCAGAGTATCCTCTTGATGGGATGCCAGAGGTAGGCCCTGGGGAGATTTTTGTCTGCATTAGGACTCCAGCAATTTTTTCTTTAATCATTTTTATCCACATTAGGACACTGCTATTTTTGTCCTGTGCACACATTCCTGATGATTCTTGGGACGCAGGAATATCTGGCCATTCCTCGAGGTTTCAGACCTGGTTCAGAGCAGGCTTCTGAGTGATGTGCGCAGTCTGCGCCAGCGGTCCAAAATACTCCAAACCCATACCAGGCCTCAATTCCTGACCGCATGTCACAAGTGGATCTCTACTGTCCATAATGAGGAAAGGGCGGGAGGTAGGCCGGCGAAGCACTACTTAGCTCGATCAGCTGCAGTGGGATAGAGAGTTTCAATAGCTGAAAGGATAGGCGATAGGCCGCTGGATAGAGCAGTGTTAGAGGAAGGTCAGCTGCGGAGTGCTTGAGAGCAGGGTAACTGGTGGTACGCAAAGGAGGAGGATGACTTCCGTGCTGTTGCCATAGCTGGGGCTCCCCATCGGGGAGCCGGACTACAACCTGCTATCTGTGGGGCATCCGCAGATCAAGGCGCCATATTTCCCTTAGTACTCTGATCCACAGAGAGAGAGAGAGAGAGAGAGAGAGAGAGAGAGAGAGAGAGAGAGAGAGAGAGAGAGAGAGAGAGAGAGAGAGTTGTTCCTCCTCTTTGACTACTGTCCTCGCCAAGAAAGAGAGACCGAGAGATTCAGTTATGGTTCAGTCTTTGGGGAGCTCGCTCTCCCGGACAGGGGCAAGACATTTGGTTGTTGGAGATGATTGGGAGGAGGAGGTGGTGCAAGGGGGAGAGATGATATATCAGCATTGCCATATTTCACGTTCTTCTTTCTCTTTTTTCGCCCCCCTTCGTGTGTGCATAATCGAGCAGGCTCCATTGGTGTATGAGCTGGGTCTCAGCCCACATTGTCTTTTTGCTTGCCATGCCTGTATCCCTTGATGTGTGCATTTCACTGAGTCCTTCGCTGCGCTCATTTCATACCCTTCCCCATAGTCTTTTTGC